TCTCTCTCTCTCTCTCTCTCTCTCTCTCTCTCTCTCTCTCTCTCTCTCTCTCTCTCTATATATATATATATATATATATATATATATATATATATATATATATATATATATTTTCTCTAGAATCAACTTATTCTCTTTACTCCTAAGAAAACTCAAGATTGTTCCGAAAAAATCTTGTTTCTAGTGGTGGATGAAGGTAGAAGATGCAAAATATTTTGTTACACAAATTTAAATTTGTGTAATGACTTAAATGATACATAAATCATTATATGTCATATTTTCTTGATAGGAGGAGTTAAGATCTGTTTAAAAAAATTGTGAATTGAACCGAATCAAATTAAAGATAAAATAATTGAATTATTATATTTAATTAGTGAATCGAGTTATATTATACAAATTATTTTAGAACCGAATTATATGACAAGTAAACTTAATCGAATTTGAAACTAAATCGAATCAAAATTTAAAATAAAAAATACTAAAAACAATTATTAAATATAAAAAAATAGTTTAACAGTTCGGTTCTTTGACGAATGGTTTGATTAAAGAAAATTGTCTTCTAATAGTTTAATATGGTTCAGAATTTTAAAACGTTATACCAAATCAATAATTTTGGTTCAGTTTAATTCTGAGTAAATTAAAACAGTTCAATTTAAACTTAGTTTAAATGAACGTTTACTATAATTTAGTTCAATTTAGTTTGATTTTCTCAGAAATTACTATGAACCACCCTAGCAGAAGCATATCTGCTGGTGTTCAAGAAAGGAGCTAGTGATGAAAATCAGAAGAATACATAAACACACCACTTAGAGCAACTTTAATGCAGTGAATTAAAGTATTGATTTGTTATAGATGACAATATTTATAGAATATTACCATTGGAGTAAGTCTACATGACAGTAGTTATAGCACACCGTGCTCTCCATAGCTCACGACAACTAACACAACTTGTAACATAAATTAATATTAAAAATTATTTTAAATTGCTTTAATGTAAAATATGGATACCAGACTGAGCAATTGTTTTTGATTAAAAATTAATTATATACAAAAATATGAACATGTGGTTTTTGATTAAAAGTTAATTATATACAAAAATATAAATATGTGGGATCAAGTTTGAATCATTTATTAGCAATCACCAATGAAATAACAAAAAAAATTAGATCAACTAAATAATCTTTAAATCCTATAGGACAATTTGGTTCCACAAAAAGTAATTTAAATGACTCGATTATTACTAATCTCATGTGAATCTATAAAAATTCCCAGAGAAATTGTTTAATTAAAAGGGAACTAACAATCTGAATTGGGAATAATTGTGAAGCCCAAAGAGATGCCACATAAACCTGGCAAGAGACCTATAGCTGTAGCATTTGTGCTATAATTTTGAATTAGTCTCACTATGCATCTACAAACAGATTGCTTATTATTACCTGAATCAGAAATTATACTCAATCCTGACATAGCATCACAACAAGAGGACCCTGGAATTGGATCTGGAGTGCCATAACTGATGAAAATAGAGCATGAAGAAAAAAGTTGAGCTACTGTGGAGCATTCTATGTTTGCAAACACTAATGGGGGTGAGAATAGTAAAAACAACATCAAAATCCCAATTGTTCTTAATACCTTGTAGCTTCCCATTGTACGATGTTTCATTAGAAGAGATTCTTTTCTTCAGTTCTTTTGTTTATAATGGTTATTTGTTATGAAATGTGTTATTAAGTTAGATATAAGAGAAAAATGCTTGGTAGGTGTGCAATGTGGAGCTTGTGGTTTTACATTACTTACATGAATTTTCAATGAACTTTGAGGTGTGCATGACACAACTATTTTCAGATGATATGATTGAATCATGCAATTTTATTGGTTATCAAATTAGTCTAACACATTGAAGATCTTCGATTCGAGTCCTTTTAAATATTTTTATAGAAAAAAGCGTGAATATAATAAACAAACGAAATAAGACGTGAATATTCAGTATCTATAACGTGGTATATACATATAGATACGTAGAACAAAAGACATTTCTAACCATATATAACATGTCTCGGTTTAATTCTCATTGTTGCATTCCCATTTAGAACTTGGCACACATGTTAGGTAGTGACACCAATGACAGTGATCATATCCATTCTCACCCTTAAACAGCATTGCCAATCCAATTGATAATCTGCATTTAAACAAATAAACTTCAATGCTTGACATATATAAATTCATCAGTACATAACAGAAACTATAATATAAAGAATCTTACCCAACAATCAAGAGAATTAGAGACACAATTCCAAGAATGTATTGGTAAGCTTTGAATTTTGATTTGAGACGAATACCAGCAGGAAAACGATGCTGCTGTAACCAACCATATTGAGGACGCGGAAGTAAAATGAAACCAAGTAGAAGTCCAGTTGCAAATCCTCCGATGTGAGCAAAGTTGTCAACGTGCGGCAAAATTCCTATTGCGAGATTGACCGCAATGATAATTAGAAGAGTGAGCAAAGCCATCACCTACATAAATAGAGAAAAAATAGAACTCAAAATTCATGTGTTATTCAAATTAAAGAAGAATTGAAACTAGATTAGGAGGGGCATTTTCATTAGCTTCACTCACTTTATTGGAATATATAGTCCAATTTGTAAGAAGTTCTGATAGCATTGCTCCAAGAAGTCCGAAAAGTGCACCGGAAGCACCAACGGAGATGCTATTTCGGATAAAAAGAGAAGAAAGTACACTTCCACCAAATCCAGACAATAGGTATATCAATCCAATTCTCACTGTCATAAATTCAAAAAATAAAAATGTTAGATAATGTTACTGAAATCAATATAATCAAGTGTTGTAGCTCATTCTTTATGACGTTCACTAAATGTTAAGGATATGAAGATATCAGAATAACAGAAGAAAAATCGTACCAAAACCGAATTGCTGTTCGAGGCGAATGCCAATGAAGACAAGGCATATCATGTTTGAGAGCAAGTGAATAATTCCAGCATGTAACCAAATGCAAGTGAAGAGTCTCCACCCTTGATTCTGGTGCACAATGTTTTCCCATTTAAGAGCTCCCATCTTGGTTAATCTTCAAAAAAACACCAAGTAACCAAACATTTCAAATAAATAACTTCACTTTAAAAATATGAATCAAAACATATTATGAAATTCAATCAAAAATAAAAATACACTTCAACAAGGTTCTAATAATGGTAAAGACTTTCATGATTTCCGGTTCATATAGGTTTTACATATTGATTGAGGTTGTTACTGAATTAACAATAATTTATTCTTTAACACAAAAACGGTGAATACAATTTCGATATCGACACTTTCCAATAACATTTTATCGGAGCCGTATTTCCGGTATTAGATTGTTTTTTAAAACCTTGCACATAAGACCAATAAGCTAGCCAAAATTTGATAAAATTTGTCAACTCAACATCCCAAGACATGTCAAGTATCATTAAACAATTGTTTATCTTGTAAATCAAATAAAAAAACATACACAAATCACAAAATAAATCAAATTCAGCATATACTGAATTAGAAGGAACAAACAAGTGAGTTCATCAATAAGAGCAATACAAAAGTCAAATAGTACAAACTTGAATCTCTTACGTTGATGAAGAAGGACCAAGCAATGGATTCTCCCTCAAAGGCTGGAAAGAGAATCTTCCAAGAAACCCAGCAACACAATTACCTTGAAAACCAAAATTATTCTTGGGACAATTGTTAATAGCCATAGCCACAACGAAAACAACAACGTTAACAACCACAAAAACAGGTACAAGCCATGAATTCCTATGATTATCAGCATCATAAACATATGAAGATGAATTTCCAGCAGCAGAGTAATTGTTGGTGTTCTTTGTCCCTCCACTACCACTTTCAACGTCTCTCCTAGAATTCATTGTAGCAAACAAAAGCAATATCTGAAGTATGAATTTTGGTTGTAATAAAACGGTGACCTATAGAATGAAGAGGTTGGTGAATGAATGGGTTATAAATAAAAGAATTAGTGGAGTGATTAACACAAATTATTTCACTAATTAATCATTATATATGTGACGTGTTACTAACTGCCGCAATTTGGATGCAAAAGACAACACGGTTAGAAACACCTGCGACTATTGACGTTGTAGGCAAATGAAGGTGGTTGACTTGATTGATGACGTGGACATTTTTGATTGGATGTTTGGTTAGGTGTATGTAGTGGTGGTAGTAGTGGATTGTGACCGTGTACGCGGTGATTTCGCTATCGTGAGTTAACTTAACTGGAACTGGAAGGTTCTGTTTTGTGCTTGAGTCGGTTTATGCTAATTACTTATATTTTTGGGTTTTATGATTTATAGTGAAAAGGGATAGACAGAAAATTATAGCAAGCATGTCTGTCACAAAGAAATAAGCCAATTGGAATGAAGTGAGTAAAGTTGAATCCTAAATGTGAGGTGATCGGATATAAGGCCAAGGATTTCTTCAAAAATAAGATATTTAATTTAAATAATTATTTGGATTAATTGTTAGAATTAAATAATCAAGCTAGTTGTTGCCAAAGGCAACATCACTAACTAGACAATACGCATTTTCGAATGATTTTCTAGATGAATGCGTGTTTTCTGCACAGCCTCCTAGTGTTGACGTTAAGAAAATCAAAACAAAAATATAAAAGAAGGCATTGTGTAGATTAAAATAGGTATCAGAAATATGAATCAAGAGAAATGTGTTGATATAACCTATAATTCAAGTTGAATAATTTAAGTCCAAATTCAATTAGAGTTTATTAGCGTAATATATAAGTTATTTGCATATAAATAAATATAGTTTCTAATTCAATTTGTATAATTCAATTCAATAATAAAATTTTCATTTTCTTATTTCCTCTTTTTCTAATCACTAAAAGTGTCTCACGCATTAAGAAATTGATATCTATAGATTCTTGATCGTGTTTACAAGAATCATACGTTAGAGATCGTGTTTCCAGGAAACGTGAATCGCAATCACTGCAGAGATGAATGTTACAAATGATATTCTGAATTCTCTTCCAATTCTTGACGGCAAGAATTGGATCTGATGGAGAAAACAAATGCAGTCCTTGTTCGATTTCTATGAAACCCTATAAGTGGTTAACAATGGCGTCTCTGAGCTTGTCGAAAATGTAATCGATGCTCAGAAAGTTGCGTATAAGGATGCGAAGAAGAAAGATTGCAAGGTTGTGTATTACATTCATTCGACAGTTGATGCGGCAAATTTCGACAGAATCTCTCATGTTGAATCGATGAAGGAGACATGGGATATTCTTGTCAAGTATTATGAAGGAGGTAAGAAAGTCAAGTTGCAAACCTTGTGACGATAATATGAATTGTTTTCGATGGGAGAAGACGAAAAAGATTACAGGCTATGTGTTGAAGGTGCAAAAAACTCGTCCATCTCATGAAAGATTATGGTAAAACCCTAATTGATAAGATGATAGTTGAGAAGGTAATGCGTAGCTAATCACTTTGATCACGTTATCGTAGCTAATAACAAATCCAACAATCTTGAAACCCTAAAATTGGAAGATTTGGTTGGTTTGTTTGAGGCACATGAGATTAGTATTGTCGAAAGAAAAGGAGTTCAAGACACGATACAAGCATTGGAGGCTGTCATGAAAAAAGAATAGTGGTTCCAACAAATTCAAAGAAAAATAGACAAGACTCGGACCAAGAAGTCTTGGTTTAATCCTCACAAGAATAAGGTCGATGACAGGGCTTCTGAATTCTCGAAAAGAGGATGAAATTTTGGTATAACAGAACTCAGATGTCCTATAGAATGTCGAGACATCTGATCAGAACATAACAACACAGGAAAGGTATAAACATTGAAAACAATATTGAAAAGCATAAACAACACACCATAATTGTTAACCCAGTTCGGAGCAACTCTCCTACTCTGGGGGCATACCAAGCCAAGGACAAGTCCACTATGATAGTATCAATTCATAGACCCTACAACAAACATACAGTTTACAGTCTATTCACTTAATCACTACTCATGCTATACTTCTATCTAAGACTCACCTGGATATGAGACCCTCCTCAATCTCTCATCAATCACAGACAGCGATTGGATAACAACAATTCTAAACAAACAGGAAGACATACTTCCATGACAATACCTAGTCAAGACCTAAAGCTAAACTTCACCATTTACAACTTTACTCCTAACTAAGAACACAACTTGGAGTTGCTTATAAGACTCCTCCAAGAATAATACTCAACTCATTACTTCTTAACGTCTGAGTGAGAACACATTGACCATCTCACAACCCGAGTGGTTCACTTACACCAACTCTCCTAGAGAGTCACAACAATGACAAAACCCTAAACTTTTACATATTGAACCCATACATCACTAGGTTATAAATCCTTTTATTTATAACCTATTCCCAACTGGATTTGGGCTTCAATCGCAGCATATCAGTTGTTACAAACCAGCAGAAACTTCTGCTACAAACAAGGTCTTCAATCATTAGTTTCCTAAAATATCTCCAAATTTAGAAACTGCATATTCTTCAATATTCTGACTTGATTCTTCTTGACCTGTAATTCAGTGCCACATAGGATAGAATAATACTCCTAGAATATTTTGCATCAGTTAAATCATAACAGAATCTAATTGTCCAGCTCAGCTCAGGCGCAATGCCGTATGCTCCTTCATAGGACATCTTGTATGACATGTTGTTCCAGATGATGAGAACTTCTCATCTCAACGTGTCTCAACATAAGATAGGACTTCTTGCTCAACCTGTTCATGTTAGCAAGTTAACATCTCCTATCTAATATATTGTTGTCTTATTTTTTTTATAAAAATTAATATCAATCCTAAAACTAGAGAACTTACAATCTCCCCCTTTGAATTTTTTTGGCTAAAACAAATAAATAAAATTACAATCCGATATTACAACAATAATAAAAACAATCCTTCAACAGTAGTCTTTAGCAACTACTGAACTCAGCAGTACAACACCATGGAGTCAGTCTTCAAATAAGATGTCAGGACATCTTGTTCGACATCTTCTTTGCAGCATTTTAAATAAGCTCCATTGCAGTACCAAACCCATCACCAAAGAGCAACACCTTCAAGGAAAGGAGTAGAAAGTCCTAAAATCATTTGGTGTACATGAGGAACAGGATAGCTGACACTCCCCCTAAAACCAGGAACCATTCCTTCTCACAGAAGATCAATGGTGACATAAGAGATTACTTAACCATTTTTTGATCAGCAACCACCAGTCGACCTAGACAAAACAACCACCAATCTTGGTAACTCATGACACATGTCACAAATGTGTTCATAACTCAGATCACAAGTCACAAAAGAATGCATCAGATACATGATAGACTTCTTATTTGGCATCTTTGTGACAAATCTGTAAAAGCAGCCTCCAAATTAATCATCCGAGCACCTTGAGCACTTTGATCGTCAAATTTCTCCCCCTTTTTAGCCAAAATATGGAAAAGGAAGCCTTCATAATATCAGACCCAGGCACAACTTTCCCAAATCCGAATAAAACCCATTATGATGATGGACATTATAGTGAAAGAGGACATGAGAACCCTCTATAAATAGCTGAGCAGTTACTCAGGAATTAACGGTCTTTGAATACAATAATGATCTTGGTCAAAGAAAACATTATTTGAGGAGAAAACTGCTAAAATTAATATGCATAGTCCAAGACAGCTTTGGACGACTTTTATTAGCTCTAGATTGTTTCTGCTGAAAAGAACTTGTCCCAATACATGCACATGCATAGTAAAACACACCTTCTGACACATGTTTCATCAAAGTGTCCACCAAAACTCCTTTATTGATCATACATAAACCATGTCCTGAATAATATCCTGACATCCAGTCAGACATTGTCTTCTTTGCTTGCACATTGACTAACACATCTTCAACCACACTGTCTTCCGCCAGATTCTAAGTGTTCTCCTTTCACTCAGACTTAGTGATACACACTAAGACATCAGAATATCACGTTTGTGACATATCTAAAAAATAGAGACCTTCAGAGAGTCCTTCAAAAAATCTGTAGAGAAAAAAATTCTCACAGGCTCAACCATTAACAACTAGAGAGATATGTGAACTCCTGATTCAAATACCCAGCTTCACATGGCTAATAACCAACCATGCCTTATCAAGATCACCAATAACTTCATAATGTCACAACATGTTGTCTTATCACATTCTCATAAGAGGCATAAGATCTCCACAAGTTTGAACAGTACACAAACATTATTTGTACCATTGCAGCAACAATCCATAGACTAATACATGACTCTCCATATCATGAATAGCCAATGCTCCAGCTGAAGATGGAAACTTGAACACTAGATGAAAACACATGAAAGACTTCGTGCTTTCATGTTGAAGAACAACATTTTCCCACGTATGTTGAACCCTGACTCCCCCAGTAGAGTCAAACCAGAGTCAGATACTCTCACTCCTTGAGAATACATCCAAGCACTCTGACTTCTTCATAACACAAGGACACATCTGATTATTTTTCTTTCACAAACACACTTTATATCATGACCTTTTGAATAGCCAACATGTCATGCATACTAGGTGTGAAGTCACTGTTGGCTGGAAATTTCGACTGAGGAAAATTTGAGCTGAGTCAATGATCTGAAAATACTTAAGAGAATTGTTTGGTTATTTTGTTTGTTAAAAACCATGAAGATTCGAATTAGAAATTGATGGATAGTTTGAAATTTGAATTGCGAAATAAGGTATTATTCGGGATAAGGTTTAAAATGTTATACTTCAACCGTTATCAGGTTTTGGCGCTCAAGACGGATAAGCGAATAGTTTTTTGATTCGAATGTTCATTCTTATCCAGAAGGACGCGTGGAATCTTTAGGATTGTCGA